CGCGCCATACTCCTTGATAACTCTAGTAAAAATCTGTATGCTTACTAGCACATCAGCCGACAATGTTATTTACTAAAGCGCCGCTAGAAAAGTACGAACTTAGCTGAACTTCTAGCTTAAAATAAATCCTATTAGATATGACCTGTAATCGGAATACCACACTTGAATGAAGCTCCTACCTAAGGTAGCCGTCAGATTAGACAGGTAATTTGAGTATACCCGAATACATTTCGACACGCGAATGAACACAGACAAGGACACATACCAACAGAAAAACTTTCTTTTATTTCATTCATATTTACTTCAGATAGAGCGGATATAAATTCTTTGAGTGATGTTTTCCGTCAAATTTACTATTCAAATCTTGTGCGCGTGGAGAAAAGCTGTTCTCACACTTTATTTGAAAATATTTCTCCGTTCTTTACCACTTGTAGTTTCTATTGCAACCCGGTAGATCTAGATCGTTGACATTTATCCAATGGATCCCAGCAACCTGAAGGGCTCCTTTAGGGATTTTTCTAGCGCAGCAGCTAGTCGCTCGTCGGTGCCCCTTCGGAAAGCCACTCGCGGCTACCCGTTGCCATGTTTAATTCTATTCCTCTATAAGATCATCATTTTTGATTTACATTCCACCTGATCCCAGATTGCGCTTACTTCGAAAAATCGTTGCATTTGTAGCGCGAGAATTCTTGACGGGAATTTCTAAAGCGAAGCTTTGTTATGAACTATTCCTTATTTCTTCAATTTTATTGTCTAGCTGGAAAATCAGAGTTTTATTGGAATTCCTCACGAAGGAAACCTTAGTTCAGTATTCTCAAAAAAGTCTAGCTTTTAGAAAGATATTTCGTGAAGTGAATCTACAGTGTACTAGCAATATCGGCGACTAGTCGTTCGTCGGTGCTCCTCCTGGATGCCACTCATAGCTAGTCGCTCCATTTACTTCAGTGCACTTAAGCAATGGTTGTTTATTGTCCATTTAACATAAAAGATATGACCTCATTTACATATATCTTTTTACATTATTTTCTTCGAGTTATAGCGGCTAGAAATTCCACGAGTCGGAGAACTCCTGAAAAAATATATGAATAATCAAATACTCCGCCAGAAAGCAAAGATAACGCGAGTAGACTTAGATACCGATAATGTTGGATTGACTAAAACTAGTCTTTGAGTGTTAGAAGTGCCTGTTGGCTTGGATACGAATGCGCGTAGAATCCTAAATACGGTTTTGTATGAATGCAATTCTACGCGTCAGATTTTCGTCTGACACATATCTACTTCGAGAACCGCATTTAGATAGGAATAATTACAAATAAAGCTAATCAGACGCAACTTATGAGCTAAGGACAAGCGCACACCATCTAAAGTATCCCTAAATGCGCATTTATATCACAGAGAATGTGTCACTTATGAATAAACCCATCCTAAGCAGACTAGCTTGTAAGAAAAGAAACGAGAACATATTAAATATATTGCTAGCAGAATACAGCTTGACAGACTGATAGCCGAACACCGAAAATATTAAATTAGCTGAATTGGCGGCCTGAACAAGCCTTATATATATATTAGATGTTACTAACACCATGGAAACTGCTATCACGCTAATACATCTGAATATGTTACTCTTTCAATGACTATCAGAGCACAAACTCATTTTATTTCATATGACTCTTTTCAGCACAGTGAAAGATCACTGTTTTCCCTACAAATCTTGCTCCGATGACAAAATTGAAAATGAAGATTTCAAGAGATCTAGTATAGATTTAGATGCCTGTAGCTCCATTTCCATTCGACAACCTTCATAAAATATGATAATTTTCTCAAAAAACTCTTTCAATACTAAAAACCGAGTACCCCATTTTCTGTAACCAGTGTTCCGGTGATGTGACTATCTGGTAACGGTAGCTTCACAGTTCTAGTTGAAAATAGCTGCTCTGAATCTTGCCCATTGTATATGTTTAGATGACTGCGCAAGTGAATGCGAACACATAAGCAAGCAAACTTGTTCGCTTCCTATCATCCTTCCTTCAGTCGAGGGAGCAAGCATAAAACTGATTTTATTTTTTATAAGCCCCTTCAGTTGAGGACAAAACGACCATTTACGTAAAAAACCTATTGCCTGACCAAAAAACTCAAACTAAAAATTTCCAAAAAATGATCTTATATCGCAATCCTAGACCTCGGTTCCGCTCGGTCAGACTTTGTAAGAAAATTTCTCTGACAAGAAAACCTCAAACTGAAAATTTCGCAAAATCAATTTCAGATTTGGATTTCCCGACCCCGCTATACTTTCGTCAACATTTATCATGACCTACAATCTGTAATCCCATGACCGTTGACCTGCCACAAACAGGCAGACAGACACACACACGCACAAAAACTCATTTCATTTCATATGACCCTTCCTTCAGTCGAGGAAAGGAATAGCCAAAAACGCTCCGTGGTAACGACAAAAAAGGTCACCTAATTCCTAACTATTTTCATAAAATTGGAAAAAGTCGCACTATTCACTATCACTTTCTTCTTTCTCATACGTTTAGACACAATCTAAAGCCAACATATACTGTATTAGCTGACAATATAGTTAAGAAAATACAGTTTCTAAACCAATACCAAATGAATCCCATTGACCCTGCCCTTTGCTATAAAAAAAAACCTGTTTCAACAAGAGCCACATAGCCAAAACACTTGATTGGCCGAAGTCCAAGCTTGAAAAAATCTGATTAGTCCAGACGACAGTGTCAAAAGCCTCCGATTGGCTGCACATATAGCACAAAGTAGTCATCAACTTCACTTTTCATTTCAATCTTTTATTCAGGACCTTTGACTTTATCATAAGCATAAAACCCGTTTTAATGCATATCATCCTCCCTTCAGCCAAGGAAACCACCTTATATAAAGGCCCAAATGCAATTAAAAAAAAACTCCTATCTGATTGCTCAGCTCTCTAATCAATCATAAGCTCATATGTGAAATCCGACCTCTGATTCGGAATCCAGGCCCTCGATAACCTATAGTGAAGTTTCATCAGAAGTTCCAAAAGCTTAAAATAAAGGAGCTCATTTATGATTGGTCGACTTTCTAGCCAATGGGTAGGCCTGATGTAAAATTCGACCTCAGATTCGGATTTCCCGACCTCAATTACCTTTGGTGAAACTTTAGAAGTTATGCCTAAATAAACTTCATCTCTAATGTTTTTTTGACCCTGACACATACAAACGCATTTTATTTCATATGACCCTCCGTACAGTCGAGGAAACATATTGTAACGCTCAAGGTTGAGCTTGAAAATTGTCACTACTTTATTCGGACTTTATATTTTGTCCTCACCTTATACTTTGTCCTTACTCTATATTTGTCCTTCAAGTATGATTTTATGTTTACTTCTTCTTCTCTTATGAAGTGGCACTCTCGATGTGCTCTCCTCACGTCTCATGGGGGTTGTAATATAAAAGTGTTGAAAAATAACGAAAAAAAAGCTGGGTACATGCCTAGCACTAACCCTTTATTTTATGAAAAATCGCCACATATATTTAAGAAGATGAAAATCAAATGAAATCTGCCTTTAAATTTCAGAACACTCATGAGAAGGATGCAGGTGAATCTGGATATCAGTCTTCGCTCTAGTCGCAACTCACACCCCCACTCTCTTGTCGACACTAGAATTAACTCATATCATGAATATATTCAGTCGAGGTATACAGTGGGAAAATATCATTGAACTGTTTTGAAACAGGATTTCAAATATATCGAAACTGTTTATAATGCTCAATAAATTGGCTGACATGAGGAAAAAAATACACGAGCTATACAAAGAATTGAACTCACTGACTTCAACTCATTGGCATGCTTTACGAACAGTTCAATAGTTGTCACTTGGGATGTAGCTTCTATTTAGAAGAAAGAAATCGCATGACGCGTCTCATAAACGAACATCTATTAGCAAGTAAGCTAAACCCCTCCCCAGAATAAAAGAGCATGGCCTTATATTGCGTCTTCGCACATCGTTACTTTCTGGGTGGCTTTCTATTGAGGTCAGCTTTTGACCAATTATTAATTAAAAATTTATAAAAACTATAATAATTAATTATAGTTAATTAATAATTGTAATTGATGTATTTCGGGAATTTTTCGTGATAAAACCGCTGTTTTCATATAAAAATATGCTATCAATGATAGAATATGGAGCGATTTCTCCAAAAACAGTAATTTTTGGCTAATTATTAATTAATATTTACGAAAAGTTAAATATTTTTGTAATTAATTAATTAATTAGTGCATGGCATTCTAATAGGGCCGATGAACTTTTGTTCAGGCATGACCTTCTAATGGGAGTGGCTCTCTAGTATGGGTGGCCTTTTATTCTGGGGAGGGGTTTAAGATATCTATCCTCCGACAGAGATTATCAGTATTCACTGTGGGAATCACGATGATCAAATCAACTACAACTATCTATACAATCATTGGATCCGACAGAAATCCGATCAAACTGTATGGAAATTTCTATAACACTGGTGGAATGATATTCAGATCCGTAGTGTTGAAATCCGGCTGAATCCACTACAGGGCTCTGACCAAATCCTTCTGTTGGGATTAAATATGAATTAGTATTCAAATAAATAGGATATTCAGCTGTCGAATCTGGTATAGGAGTCTTTCAATTGGGTCTATCAAACTTTCTACTACGTGGTAAAAGATAGTGCGATCTTTGAAATAGATTCAAAAGCCGACGAATACTTTCATAGGATTGTATTAATAAATGTGACTCAAGAGTTGAATACATCAATGTAGAGCGAACATTTATCTGTTATATCTCATGCGTAAGGTGCAATCATTCTGCGATCGACTAAATGTCATGATCAATTTTCATTTCATCCATTTTCTTAATAAATGCAGAAAAAAAACGGTTGTATCTTTACGCCTCTTTTTCTCAAATTTTTTGCTAATATTGATTAATGGATGAGAAGATAAATGAGTGGAAAACTGAAAATGAGAATCAGTTAATCATTCATACCTGATACGACTGATAATTTTTTCTTTGATGCACTGTCGGCAGCTTTTGCTGGCACTATTTTCATCGGTGTTGATGAAGAAGATGCACTTGATTTAGGCACACCCGAAGAAGCCTTTTGTTCGTTCAATTTAGGAAATGGGGATTTAATAAGTGTCATCGGTGGTGTAATTTCTTTTAATTCAATGATATTAAGGCCAGCTGCAGGATTCAATTGGCCTAGTACTTCGAAATACGAACCAGGCATGAGAATAATTTCTTGTTCGGTTTTCTTGAAATATGAATGTGCATCAACAGATTTTCCATTGATGCATTCGATCGAAAATAGTGTACGCTGTCCAGTTTTACCCAAAAATGGTTCAGATTCGAGCAGTTGCATATCTGCAGTGCAAGAACTTACTCCCCACCAAGCAAATTTGATACCGGTTTTGTATTTTGAACTGAGATCGACACCTCGAATACCACGCCATACTCGCCTACTTTGAGACGGTAGTTTATGAAGAGCAGTAAGAAATAATTTCAAATATAAGAACCATGGCTTCAAATCGTCACGAATTGCGGCTCTTAATGATCGATTAAGTAAAAGATATAAACTAGGCCCACCATCAAACTGCATTGTATAAAGATGTATGGAAGCTGATTCTTCTTGATCTAAACCATCAGCTGGGTTTTGGCAATTGTGTAAAGCAACCTGAATATTGTCTTCGATTTCATTGAAAAATCCAGAAACCGGCTCAATAGCCTCCGCTAGCGAAACAAGTAGTTTATCTTGATAGCCTTTTATCGGTGCCAAAAGACCATCTACGGGTTCATCGTAGACATCTGTGTAGCGGGATCTGTTGCTCAATGCCAGTGCCTTAGCCATCTCTTACTTTTCATGCGCAGCAAAAAATAATTTTTGAACTTGAATAAACTAGGAAGAGAGATAATCAATTGTATGAGAGTGTTTGCTTTGTAAAAACAAATGGGTAAAAACATTAAGTAGGAAAACCTGATTTTTTTCTGGAATAATCAATTGAAAATAATTCGAAGAAAACAACAACATTTCTATTTCGTTTTTGTGCAAAATGAAAGTGAAAAGTGAGATTTCTTCGTAAAAACATTGTCATTCAATAATTAATTAGTATACGATTTTTGTCAAGTGAACGGGCACAAAAATCTCAATCAGATATTTAATTTTACGCTGACCTTATTAAACACGTTGTATTTGGTTTTCATGCTTGCTTTCGATTTTTAAGCTAAACGCATATGTGCGACATCACACAATAGGAGAAGCACATTTTAAAACACGTTTCACGTGTTGATGCTTCAGAAAAAACTAAAAATACTGCTCCTTTTCAGACGCCTTTTGCTTTATAACTTGAAGGTGATATTCTTTGAAGTCGGCTACTGCGTTACTGTTCAATGGAAGCAGTTTCCAGAAACGGTAGAAAACATGTTTCATTTTCGAGCGAGTGTTAAGCCGCAGTCATGGCTTTTGATTTTACATGAGCTGGATTCATAGCACTGAGATACTACAGTTATGTTCCTTAGCGAAAAAAACAAAATATACGACTGATTCAAATGTATTATGCCTCGTGTATACGAACCGATCGAAAACGACCGGTTAATCGTGGCTATTTTTTATGGAAAACGGCGCCCTAGCCTCAATTTTGTTCATTCCTTCAGAAATCCTGAATGTTCAAGATCTTGGCAAACTTTTCTCACGATCCTGGCTCAATTTCTAATATTTCTTGTTTCCCGAATTTCTCAGGGGTACACAGGGTTCTGTTCAAAATTTCGTCAGGTTCCTGGGCAGACTCTTTTCTAGATCATGAATGCAGGATCCTACCAGGATCTTTACAGGAATAATAGAGTGGATTCTCTCAAGATTTTATCAAATTTTAGACGAGATATAATGTGGATCCTGGTACAAGAAGCCAGTCAACTATTGCAGCTGAAACTGAAGAAGATCAAAACCAAGAAACAAACAGGTCAAGAGCGCATTAGTTGCTGTCACTGATACTTAGCATAAGATGAACACGCATTCACACTCATAGCCACATCTTGGCTCCTAAATGATTGTTAGTTCGAAAACAATGGGAATCTGTTGACGATCCTGATGGAGTCCTGTTTCAAATCCTGTCGGGATCGTGAAATTCCGTGGCTACATAGACCTTTCAGAAATCAACGGTTTCCTGGGTAATTTCTGACTTCAAAACAATAGGAATCCGTTCAAGATCCTGATACAGTCCTGTTTCAAATCCTCACACGATCTTGAAACTCCTTGGCTACAGCCTTCTTTCATGATTTAGTCATTTTCTCAGGAAAAAAGAGCGAATCTTGGAAGGATCCTGACTGGTTTCGTGCAGGATCTGGAACCGAAACGTCAAGTGTTTTTGCGAAAGTTGAATACTTGTGATTCCTATCAGGCTTGATAAATTGTTACGAGTAAATAAAGCGATTCTACTAAAACCTTACAAAGCCTTTTCTTAGTAGAATTTTTCTAAGTTGTTATTGATGCTAGTGTTCTATTCGCCTGGTAATGGTAGAGTCAATGTTGGTAAAGCGAACGCTTTTTAAGGGTGCCTTTGTTCTATCTCGTACGTCACAGTTATTTTAAGGAGTAAAATGTTTCTTGTCATGTAGTTGGGAAGAGAAATGATTTCTCTATCTACTCTTATGGAAAAAAAAAGATTCTAGATGCTCTAATGATTGAGTAATTAGCGGTATAAAATGACACACATAAAACGTTCGCTTTATCCGTCATGTTAGCAAAGCGAACACTCCAGCGGAGAACAANCTCCATCACTTTTCCTTCAAAAGTTATATGCATTCTCCCGGAACGCCTTTTTTTCAAAAATGGATAATAGTTATTGGAACCTTTTTTTTAGCTACTGTAGAACTTCACTTCAAAATATGATCTTGTATTCCAGCAATTGACATGTTGTCATATTTTTTGGTGCCTTGTTAAAACCGTTCATGATCTAAACATAGCACTCAAAACTAGACAAAAATCCAGAATTTTTCAAGCTTCGAACACTATTGAAAGATTTATTTCTGACTATCTGAAACTAAAAAATTAATATACGCTAAATATTCAACTTCCTAACTGAAAACCAACAAGTTAAAGTCATTCGGCTTTGTCAATAAAATTTGACAAAATTCGAACAAGGAATATAGACGAGATATGATTTGATTACACACAAATTGATCGAATGCTACCTGTACACCAATCAGTGGAACTTCGTCCTCTATTGTTCGACGCAGCGAGTTTACTCCAAAAATATTGATTTGCATTTTTTTTTTACAATGACTGGTCCCATGCCAAATCATCATGTTGAGCAAGGACAAATCATCAACCACAACTATTATATCAATGAATACTCAGAACCTCTCCATTGAGGACATCCTGACAAAAAGATGAGCATCTGATATAGATGCCAAAACGTACTTTCGTAAAGATGTCTTGAACTGGAAGGTATTAAAATTATTCGATATAATAAAACAGAATCTAACAACTCACAGTCTTTGCATCTTGCCATAACCGAGATCATAAATTCCCTCAGCAAAGATGACTATTCAAAAGCCTTTCGATAAAATAGCTTGAACTTATACATTTGTGCGTAAATAATCAGAAGAACTACTTAAAACATTTGATGATTAAAAAATATTGATTAACTTAATTTTTGTATATATTTTTTCTTGGCAATCTCATTACTTTTTCGTATACTCCCTAAGTATTAATAGTTAACTTTTCTTCATTTCATCTAACTACATTAGAATAATACAGATAATTGAAGAAAAAAATGAATCAGTTGATGAAATAATCATTGATTATGATAACAATTTTTTAATTTACCTTATCTCGAATATGTACTTGTCCATTATATAATCCAAATGCAAGTAATTGTCCATCTGCACTCCATGCACAACAAGTTATTCGACCAGTTAATTTTGTTTTTGTTACATTTTTTTGTTCAGGTGACCATAGACCGAAATCAGCATTTGAACAACTTGCAAGTAAATGTGAAGTCGGATGATAAGTAACACATTGAACAGAAGAATCATGTCTAAAATTATTTTGTTTTTTCTTTCCAAACAAATTGAATTAAAAAAAAACAATACAAAAACAAAAGATACATACGCATATTTTAACATTCCTTGTAATTCATTTGTCCATATAACAACTAGTTTATCAGCACCACCTGATGCAAAACGACTTCCATCCGATGCATAAGATAAGGTATTTACGACATCACCATGTCCTATAATCAATTTATATAATAAATTAGAATAGAATAGAGTGAATAAGTTCATACCACTAAGTGCACTTCTTAATCCTCCATCTGCCGTATCATAAACAAGTATTTTTGTTCCAACAGCTGCTAATAATTGAGATCCATCTGGGTTAAAACAAAGAGCATTCACCCTAAATTAATATTGTTTTTAAAGAGAGGAAAAAAAAATCATAAACAAATTATTTTACGATTGTTCTTCTACATCTTCTTCAGATGGTTTATCACCCCATAAAACAACGGACTTCATTGATATGAACAATTGCTTTTAACGTATACAGAAGTAGTAACAATTAAGTGAACTTGATATCATTCCATGTCAGCCATCAAAGAATATTTTGTCAAAGAAAAACCTTTGCAAAAGTGAAAATGGTCGTAGAATTAATCATTATATCACTAGGTTAATTAGAATTTAATTTTATTTAGAAAATAAGATTATCAAGAATGTATTAAGCAGATGTTTTTGATATATTTATGAAAGGAAAAGATGTCGCTAGTGTCTTATTTGCCAATATGAAAATTCTATAAGATATTTGTTCTATTCAATTAAACTTCATGTTTAGTAATTGCACAAAGATTTCATTTAAAGACACATTAATTTGAATAAAATATTGAAAATCTTGTAATTATATTCTCTGACAATGTTTTAAAAATTATCTCGAATTATACTCAATATTATGATGGCTCTCGTATTAAAAACAAAATAAACAACAATACCAGCAGATATTCTTGAAAAAGATTTTTCATATGCGCAATTTTTATCTTTTCAAATAGAATCGATACGCTTTCTAACTAGTAAAATATTCTCCGAATGAGGTTCGTGAAACGCATAATGTATAAATGCAAGAGAATAGAAAAGCAAAACGTTATGCAAGAGAAAGGTATGTGTTTTACTGAAATCATTTCTTATTGCATATATGTATAGAACGATTCATAGCTTGAGTGAAAACGGCGAAATACAGTGATAAAAAATGTCCGATACGATCAAGATTTATTTTATACCAGAAATAATCAGTGTTCCAAACATTGTTTTCTCTTGCCGTTTTTGTATCGAATTACAAAATTGTCTGAAAACTATTGTTATAAAGTCTTTGACTATCTAACAATAGGTGAATCTTGATGATCTTACTTGCCATAGTTAATTGCCTCACAATCAAAATGCTTCTCTGGAATAATTTTACTGAGCTTGAAATACTATTCATTGTTTTTATTTCTGCTCCATTGTTTTGATTACGTGAGGTCCTATTTAACTATTTTTTTGAGCTATTTAATATAATAATCGATAGGTTTCATTGAGATATATTCGACGATATGATATAGACCCTTTAAAAAGATCTTTGCGCCATGGTGCATATTGATCAACATGATCCCTATTATCAAGTTATTAAGAACCATTGCACATTTTAGCATAGTCTCTGATCGTCGCTTTTCTTCATAGATCAGTACCATAGGTGAGACAGCATTGAAAAATGGTTGCGATATCTCTTCTACTGAACAATATATCCTACTTTAACTCTATATATCTGTATCAGACAACTAGTTTGTTTCAAGAAAAAGTTTTGATTGTCCTTTCCCATATAGGATTATTGTCTTTGTGTACCATCAAATTTTAACAAGTATACTATTGATATAGGTTGTGCATGCTGATTTCTATCTATCAATCATATTTATAAAATAAAGCGTTTCATAATAATACAAAAAACATACGTGAGGTATTGCATAGAGTTTAATAGGTGTAACCAAAGTCACATCGTATAAAGCAAAAGATGGTAAAAACGAGACAATATACTTTGAGTATATGGTCTTAATATAAGTCATTGTTGTTCGATGAAAATGGTCTTTATTGACGTCGTTTACCTTATGGTGAAAGACACGAAATGGCGGATTAATACCCAAAAATATGATAAACGCTTTTTAACATTTACGGTAGAGTTTGGGCTGTTTTATCGCTGTTTCTGACGCTGAGAATCATAATCCTGGAATATGCGACATATCAAAATGCTTCTGATCTTGTTTTTTTCCTATATGATCATTGATAATTTTAATACTATCCATTAAATGCTGTATTGATTTGCAATGTCTTTATTTTATTATGAGAATGATAGTCTATTTTTAAAACCAGGACCTGTTTGTTCGTTTATAGTGACATTTCCATCGTATAATGCTGACACATGCAGGAAAGATCTATGTAACCTGGAGTCGACGTCGTGATCATTTTTGTTTTGTTATAACAGAATATCTTCACATATGTATAACTTTTGAACAAATGAAATTACTCAACCAATACCTATGATACCAATTAATAATATGAAATCTTATTAAATTAAACGTCTCTGTAAACAAAATCATATGTTGTTTCATTCATTAAGATTTACAGCATATTTTCTTGGTTTATTTCCCGATTGACTGAAAAATTCGTTAAAAGAAACGAGTAAATTGGTCAAAATATTCATAAATATCACATGCCATGGTATTTTAATTTTTGTGGTGATCGACGTATATTATTTTATTATATCACTCCTGCAGAACAATATTTAATGCATTTTTTACTGTACAGACACAATTCAATATGAAAATAAATATATTCATAATGCGATATGATTAAAACAAGTTTCTATACATAAATGGAATGTGAAAACATTTATTTTGATCAATGCCATACTTTGACTAAAGCTGATCCGTACCTGAGCAAAAAAATAACTTTGATTAGTTGATTGATGACTGAAAATTTAAAAAAGAACCTTGAAGGATTCATGTCTATAGGCCCCTGGAGTCGAGTTATAACTGCTTTAATGAATTTTTAACCAATTTTTAGATATTTATTGAAAAATCAAATAGGACAATTTTGACCCAAAGACTTTCAGGATATTCTAAGAATCATCAGACCAGTAAAACGGTCACAAATTAACTCCAAAGGTTCATGAATAGAAACTCTTTAAGGTTTCGTAGTCTTCCCGAGACTTTCTTGTGAACTCAAAATAAGTTCAATCGACACGTTATAATTCGAGTAGTTTCCTCGTGAGCCAATCACAACTGTTAGACGAAACTTTCTACGTTTAGTTTTATACCTTTTTTTTTATATGTAACGGTATTTTTTGAAGTATAATTTGAATAAAGTGAAACAATATTACAGATTCAATATTCAATTTACGAAAAATGATTGGTCATTCATTTTATGAAATCAGCATTAATTTTATTAACAAAAAGCCCTATCAACAAAAGCGTTTACATGAAATATTGAAAGCATGTTTATTTTCTTGAAAATTTCTTGCATTAGAATTTGAAATATTTTGATTATTCAAACAAATTTTGTTTTAAGATTATTAATAACTAAATGAATTTTTTGCATCCATTCACTTAATAATTGAACAGTAACAATTGTATGAACATCATGAATAATTGATCGAGTAGTTTCATGGTGTATTAATAGAAATTTTATTCGATTTATTTCATTAATTGATTTCCATTCATGTGAATAAACATTTAAAATATTTCGATATTGACAAATAATTTCATATTTTAGATTCTTTTGAATATGTTTCAACAAAACATCCGTTGTCCATGAAGATAAATCGTGCATATTTATTATATCATTAATTGAATTATAATAAAAACTCATTGTATTATGTGCTTCAAAAAATAGTTCAACTAAAAATTTCTATTTAAAAAAAAAAGAAAATACTATTATTGAAATAGAAAACATATTCATGACAATACTTTATCAATATTACTCATTCGAAAAAAATGCATATGATATTTTAGTGTTGGTATTTGTGAATCTATTGATTGCATTTGAAATTTTACATAACGAATGATTTTATCAACAATTGAAGCATTTCGTAAAATATGTTTTTTAATTTCATTTATTGTTTGATTGAGATTTTCAGTCGTTGCCGCTATTTCATTTAAAACATCATTGACACATAAAATTCCTCGTGTTAGATTGCACATATTATCATTTTCTGCTTGTTCTTCATTAGATTGAGATATAAATAACATAATTAAAATGAGAATAATTAAGAAAATATTCATGTTCGATAATGTAGACATTATTTTTGTTGAATAATATTTTACTGCTTTTTCTTAGAATAGGTCAAAGATAATGAACTTATTCTTTAATGTGAAAATATGGCATTTTTTCTTCCTATTTATAGAAGCTAATATTATTAATAAAAATACACTGATGATGGAAAATCATGCCTGATTTTGTTTTCAATTGAACTATTCTTATAAAGAAAATCATTGTTAAACATTTACAATTGCCATCATTTACGTCTTATGAAAAAGTCGAATAAAAACAAAGTCACTCAACATGTAGATAAATAATCTACGAAGATATATCTCAATCTGATTTATTTAACAACGTTTTTTTGGCATTGCGATTGTTTTTAGAAGAAACATATATAATGATATCAATGTCGAATTTTGACTACGAGCAAAAATTTTGTATCATTCAAAATTCATTAATTAACAATAAAATTTTAAAATTGATGATTTATATAAGAACTATCATAGCTCAAAAAAAGTAATAATACTACTCTAAGACATAGAGATAACGACAAATACAGCTGTCATATTCTATCGCCATTTCAAATACCAGTTATTAAGTGTGCATGTAGAAAGTCTTATTGTTGTTAAATATCATAAACAAACACATGATTTTTACAGATGTTGACTGTCGAGTCTGCGAAACAGTATTTTGCGTCTTTATCAAATGAGCAAGTGCAGATTTGAAGCTTTCAGCAACTTTTGGTTACCGAAGGTGATCATAAATATTTGAAATTAGTCTGAAAATTAAGATGATACCTAGAATTCTGTTTTAATTCGATTTTTTCAATTAAGACAAGACTATTTGTCGAGAATAACGATTTTTTTAAATAAAGTTTTACTAAAGATTTCCAGTATTAACGAATTCGAATCTCTAATCAATTATTTGAAAGTCTGGAGTTCGATTTTTGTTTTTTGAATAGTGGAAAACTGTTTCCTGCACTCTGAGTCAGGCTGGCCTTCTGCCCAGAGCTGCAGCTAGAAATAGTTGTAGGAAAAAATATCGGGCCTTCGAAACTGTCCTTGAACAGCACCCTATACTGAAAGGTAGCCGAAAGGCAACGGTATTCTTCTTCTTCTTCTATTTCCTGCAGTTTACTCACGTTTCATAGCAATCAGCTATTTTTTTAAATTACCACTGATCAGAAAAATTGGATTCAAGAATTTCGAAAAACTGATAAAACATTTCAGATTCATTGATCTTTAGTCAAATTTTATTTAAAAAAAAAGCTTGTTGGCGCAGCCTCTTTGGGGCTGAAATGTGCAGCTCACATATTCTCTCAAGCCTCATTAAACCAATACAAAAAACGTAAAATAAAAAATCTCTCATAAACTATAATTGTTTTGCAGGATAATCAATCACTTAAGCAAAACATTCTCTAATTTCTGCATTTTGAACAAAATTTTGTTATTTTTTTTCTACGGATGCCATATTGTTTGTTTTCATTGTTCCTATTCGCTCATTGTTTTTCATTTTTCTTAATTTATTATTCTTATTACTATAATCATTGAATTGATTGACAAATAACTGTGTTTTACATATCTATGATATCTACAGCAGATCTTACATACTATCATATATATTAATCAAGTCATAAATAATGATGTACATTATTTTTCAAAATGATAAATTCATCAATTTCCCAAAAAAAGAACTCTAGAAAATCCAACATCTTTTATTCTCGACTGCTAAAGTATGTAATGGGGGAAGGGGGAGCCGCGAAAAATTGACCTTAAAACTTACACTCACTATTTTCTTCGAAAATATGTGTGACTTTCACAAAAAATCGTTATTTCCAAAAACTCGAATTGACATAGCGTGACTCTTACTCATAGTTATCACCTTACTTTTCAGTCTAATTTCAAATATGTATCAGCAATACATTACCTTCAACATTTTTTCAGCATCTTGTAGTAAAATTTGGTGTTCAGATACTGTACTTATCTCCTTGGTAATTGTGTACTGTATTAGTGTGCTCGAAAAAAACAAATCATAGAATTTATTGGACTGTTATGATTTGTCATTAAATATGAGAAACCGTAACTTCTCAAAAGAGATACTTTTTCACATAATAAAGAGCTATTAAATGACTTTAAGTAGCTGACTGCTATATAAAGATTTTTCGTTTATCGTATTGTTGACTTGTAAACAGGCACCTAGTAATTCAAACTTAGTCATTGTTTTTGAAGATTAAACTACTATTAAGAATATATTTCAATAATACTGAAGCTTTAGAAATTACTTCAACATCATCTGAAGCTTCATTAAATTCAATCAGTGGTAACAAGAAAAAAGTACAACAATAACTGATAATATTAATTAATAGGGTCAACTACTCTTCAGTTAATAAAAATGATTTGAATAATAATAATAATAACAATTATAAACAACAAAAATCTAATAGCAAAAATTATCATACAATTCCTAACGATATTAATAATATTATTGTACAAAGAACAAATACTGATGACAATCATAACTACTTAATAAAAATCGTATCAACTGAACATTTGCATTTAAAAAAAATTCTATTTCTTTTCTTTTTATATCTATATATATATTACAGCTGCAAAAACAAGATTTAATCATCAATAAGAATTCAGAGAGATGACTAAACTATCGGTAAATATATCTTTCTTTCGAAATACATTAACAAGAATAAAATCAAGATCTCCGATAATGAATTTTGCTGTACTAAATGCTTATCTTTTGTCGAACTTGATGATCTCATATAAACAAATATGATAAACGAATGGTTTATTTAATATTTCAAGATAAATTTATATATGTTGAATTAACGAGAAATAAATTTTGAGAGCAACTGAAACTTTGACAATGTCATACCCCTAACTATTACAAAATATTTGATAAAAATATTCACATCACGATTTTAATTAATTAGAAAGATTCACGCCTCGTTTCACATTTCCGTCACAACAAAACAAAAAATGGTTACTTCGATCACCACTTTCAACCACTCTTCTCTGTTCTTACTTTTGCAGCATGTATATTTCTATTAATCCGATATATGCTAAGCATATTTTTTCCGTAAACCATGAGAATTTATTATAATTTACACAGTATCTAATCTACTCAAATATAGGTCAATATAAAAATTTTCTTTCTTACCAAGTCTTTTTCTGTTCATTTTGACATTGTCTTACAAAAGTCTTGGTAATTGTAAAAGAACTCTAAAACAACAATCTTATTAACATAAACATAGTATTACATAAATAAAAGGTCTGTTAATATTTATTTCAAGTATTGTTTAAAAAAAAAAAACTTCCTTTTTTCCTTGATTAATATTCTAAAAGTAAATTTATCTAGATCTCGATGGAACTATCATATTCGACCAAGGTTTAACATCAACTATTTCAAAAAATACTAATAAACAAGTGCGACATCTATCCCCATGTGATGAAGACCGGAGGTTAACCGCGGTTTTACTGGTCCGATGACCGCCCTAGTCGAACATCTTGTAAGCAAGATCTTGAAAAGATAATTTGTATGTGAATATCTTGGTTGTATCGAATAAATCTGTACCGAAGATCTTGCCAAGGTCATGGAAAAGATATCGTTTACTATTATCTTCTCACAAAATCTTGAGTAAAAAAGCAACATCATCAGTGTTTACATGCTGGCTAGTCATTCGCCGTTTTTTTTATGCATATAGAGTCGTATATAAACAACGTGATTGAACATATAAAACATACATTTTCAGAATAACTTTATTTAAAAACTATTTCTCGAGTGTTGATCATTCGAGAACATGCTGATCTAGATCGATCATCGAGGGAGGACTACCCTGAAGCAGTCTCATGGAGATCGAGCCATCTTAAGGTCAGGCAGATTCCAAGATCTGACTTGCTTTAGTTATTCGGAATAGAAATAATTAAAAAGAAGATAAATTGAAAAAATTTCATAACAGGCTTTTGCAGAAAAAAAATAATAAATACGCTATATGATAGGTTCGAACCATGCTTTGAGAATGTCTCATGCATTATGTCGGAAATTGTGACACATGCAACACGTTTTATCTTAGTGTGTTCCTAAGATCTTGCATATCTGTACCCAAGATCTGATTCAAGATCTTGGTACAAGATGTTCGACTAGGGCTAGATCATCAGCTTTAAAATATATTTCAACTCATCATCTTTACACACTGTCAAGGCAGTTACTATTTAATATCAGTCATTTTCCATTCAATTAAGCCTACTGATTCCATCACACTCCTTTTTTTCATAAATCCTCGCATATACTTGTAGATTTGTATTACGTGAGTTCAGTTTGTAGTCTCGTCGCTAACTGTAGATCTGTAAGTTCTGTTTTTATGTGCTTAAAGTGAGTTTGATTTATTTCGTACACAATTAACACGATGTATATCAGCAAACTTGGAAACAAACAAAGAACACGAAAAGAACGAGAAGAGAAAACGAGAAATAGATCTCACTCCATAGATGATCATATCGATCTATATACTGTTTAACAACCATATTGAGTAAATCCAAGCAGAAAATAAAGAAGTAGAAGAAGAAATTCAGTATCGAGAATAAGATGATACTAGGAAAATTCCAACATAGCAATTAGGAATTTTCAAATATAGCGATAGGGAAAATTCCTATATTAACAATACTACTTTTTCATTCGTTATCCATAAAATAATTTCACTTATAAAATATTGAAATAACAACTAAAAAGACATTATATTTATTACCTAACATTGCAAAATGAATATATATCAGAGATAGAAACGGGGCGAGGCGAGGCGTGATTAAGTTAAAATCCCCGAACTTTTCTCGTGATAGGTTCACAACATAAATATCGATATATAGACTATGTATTTGAATAATGTATGCATAAAGACTTATGATAATAGTCTGTGTGCAATAGATTATCTACTCAACGCTTCGTACAAATATAAAAGTTTTCCGTTAAATATGAATAGTCTTTATTGAATTCTATTTTTATCGTGGAAGATGAAAGGTAAAGACTGCAACAGAGAAAAGCAGCATGTATTGATAGACTGCTTTCGCAAATTACACTCGACCCGAAAGTTTACTTCAGATGCTAAAACAGAATTTTATGTAGAGTTTATTTAAACATTCTTTTGTTCAATAAACATTTTTCATCTCTGTATAACGTCGAACTTGTTGCGTGTCACGAAAACATAAAATACTCAGCATTTCGCTAGAATTAAGAGTCGTTTTTATTTGTTAAATAGCTTTCTATACGCTATTAAAACACACTAAGAAAAGAGGAGAAGTGTATTTATTTCATAGGCATCAAATCGAACTTTTGCATAAAACTTTACTACCTAAAAGCGACATATAAAGTATGTCTATACCTATTGGGTCGAGGATGTATTTAAGATATTCTGCAGTTTTTCAGTAAGAGACAAAATTAGAATGTTCAACTAGGCACATCATTTGATACACTAAAAAAATTCGCATGGCTTAAGTGAAGAAAACTAAAACTTGAGATCAATCTAATGTGGTAGAATTTGATTTTTAACCTTCATGGTTTTGTAGATGAACAGTTGGCATTCTACTAGTTAGTATTCAGTGAATTTGGTGTTTCGAAAAACAATCTAGCGATGATTTAAAAGAGAATGTTTCGTTCAAATCGACAGAAAATTCTCTATCTTTTATCATTGGTACAGAGCCGTTTGGTTGAGTTTAAATTGACAAAAACAGTCTGTTGGAAACCTGCAATATCCTTTGTTGCACCCTTAACTTGCGTTCGTGTGTTCATGTAAAAGTGAAACGGCTACTGTCAGTAACAAAAGCTCAAAAAGCAAAATGCTATTGTGCTTGCAGTGCACGTCTGTCGAAATTGACTTCGGCTGCAACAGTTTATATTGAAAAGGATTCAACAAAAGAGTTTCTTGAACACTTAATGGATGAAGAACTGACAAAAAGAAAGTCTACACCAATAATAAAAGATGAAGTCGATATTCATATCGATTTCAAATTAGGCAAAGACTGCCCAAATTCGTTCTCATGCTAAGATGAGTTGGAAAATATTTTTCAAGATTTCTCCATATTGGCATGTCACATGTATATAATGCCACACAATTCAGCTGCTGTCGACAGAGAATCTTTGGAAGCCTTTGAAGTTATCAACCAAAGATTTAATTTACAAGCCACAAGTGTTAGTAGTATTTTATTTCATCGTTCAATAGAGAATAGCAAAATTAAAGGATGACTGAGGACAAATTATATTCCTTTGTTGCTATTCAGGGAAAGAAGCTGGACGGAGAATCGGGCGTGGCCCTGGGACAGGGACTAATTTCTTCGGAACGAGGCGAGGCGGGACGAGGGGGCGAAAACAAATTAAGGTTGGGGTCAGGCGAGGTGGAGAAACCTTTTTTCAGGTGGGACGAGGTGGAGAGCAAAAATTCTTTCCCGTTTCGAGCTCTGATATATATATATAAACAAATTAGAATAATATACTGAATACGTATTCATTGAGTTCTTTTTTTAAGCCTTGTTTTACATAAATCAGACACAATAAATCAGTAATTATTTATATATTCTATATCAATGAATACTAATTCAAAAGTGTTGAAAGACTTTAAATTATGCTGAGAATGATTTTTGTCAAATTTAGAAAATGAATAGCTGAGGAAAAGTAAACCATTATGAAGAAAATTAAATAGTTATGAATATATATTAAGCAGGGCTGGAACACCTTAAATAGTGCTGAGAATGATCTTAGAGAAATTTATGAAATAAATAAATATTTAAGTCATCTTCAATATATATTATATTTCGACAAAAATCTTTTAACGATTGTTGTTCGTTATTTATTTATATATATATAATAGCTTTAAAGAAAAATTATATCTCTTTTGAGAGTGAGACATGAAAACCACAAAATTCTCAAGAATATCTTTCTGGGTATAATTTCTGAACTAGTTGAACCATTACAATATTAGAATACAGGAAAACCTCTCTAATGTGAATACTATCTGGAACATTTCAAAGTGTTCTCTATATGGAGGTATTCATTATAGGGAGATGATACAAGAATTGCTGTAAAATAAAGAAAGTGTTTCAGGATATCTACTTCTACATTAGTTCTAGATAAAGGCTTGCATATTTATTCTTCTGTTCATATTCTTTCATCCAAGTGTTTTCAACTGAAAGATTTTCTAATTACAATACAAAATTATATTTTTTAATTAAAAAAAAATCTTCTAATATTGTTTGTCTTTTTGCTTTTGAGGGTGTAAAACCCACAACCACATCCATATTTGGCACAGAACCAAGTGAAATATTATATTTTTATCCAATTTACGTTTTGATAAACCTTTACCACTGTTACTATCATGAATTAATTGCATATTTTCTTCGTAAGTAAGCTCGTGTCATGATGTCATTCTTTACTTCACAAATGAAGCAGTTGCATCGTGCCTAAAATGAAGTTACTTGTAGTACATAAAAAACACGTGACAGAATAGAAAGGGGTCAAAACAACATATTCACATTAGAGAGTTTATATTAGTAAAAGGACTGCATAAAAAGCGTTCACTGTTCAGGATAGAGGTGTTCACTTTAGAGAGATGTTCACTAGTGAAGGTTCTTCTGTAGCTTTATTTTCATAAAATATTAATTCGAGAAACTTTTTGTATGTAATACCCAGCGGAAGAGAATAGGAAATTTTAGCAAATGATAAATTTGAATTTAGCATACAAAGTAGAACAATAAGTTATTTCTCTGTTCGTAGATAAACAACAACATATTGAACTTGTACAAACGTTCAAATTAGTTTTCAATAAAAAGAAAATTTTATTGAATACTCCTCAACTTCTTCAGAAAAAGAAGAGCATAAATTTTTATCCTGAAAATTTTCATCGTTCCTCCAAAGAAAGTCTACTATTACGGGCTAGTTTTTTTTTCTAACATTTACTTAGAAAACCAAAGGCTTATAAAAAAAAACACTCATGATCTTCTATTATGCTTTGTGAAATTTTTCTTATAGTTGACCTTAGAATGAGGATGACCTTTTAACATAGAATGTTTTTTTTTCCTAGGGGAGGGGGTGTTGTCAAATATTGATACACAGAAAATTATTGACATTGATTTGTTGGGAATTGTAAGTAAAATGATATTGTCATTTGATTGTTGAGTTAAATTCTATAATTATAATACTCTATCTAAACATTTATTCTGCCTTATTGATGATCAAACTCATGATCTTTGCAATTGATACTTAGATTCTAGTTGCTGTCGTCATATGAATGAAAAAAATAATACAAAGTACACCAACATACACATTTATTGATAATAATAGTTAAGAACAAAGAAATTCAATACGAATATAACCACAAAAAAAGAAAAACAACAGCATTTTTCAACATTATCAACGAAGATATTTGCTATCTATATTGACAACAATATTATTGACATTTTTTATCCATTCTTGTAATAATTGAACAACTATCATTGAGTAAGCATTATGAAAAAATGATGGAGCATTTCGTTTTCGCATTCTTAATATTTCAATACCATTAATTTCATCTATTCGTGACCATGAATCAGAATAAACATGTAAAATACTACGATATTTACATAAAATATTCTTTTGTAAATTATTTAAAATTGTTTTAAATGAATCATCAACTGATGTACCAAAAATATTTCTTATTTTTAAAATATTATGTATTGAATTATACAAATAACTAAAAGCATTATGTTCTTCTTGAATTAAATTAATAAAATCCGTCTATGCAAAATTAAAAAAAAAACAAAAACGGAAGAATAATTAAACTATTCAATTCAATATGATCTACTTTATTAATATTATTTTGAATACTCATAAACCGATCATGATAATCTGATCTCAATAGATTCGATTTTATATATTTCGTTTTATCATCGATGTATGTTTTAAGAGCTTCTGAATTTGGTTCGTGGTCAAGCTAGAAATTAAACATAATATAAATTCGAATAGATAGAATATATTAAAAAAAATATTCATACAATATATTGTTCGATCTTATTAGCTATAATATTGATCTCATCAGCCGCATTTGAAATATCCAAAAGAACATTTTTAACGCAGAGTACACTAATCAGATTTGGACATAAAGCATCACCTTGTTTTTTTTCTCTATGACCATGTACTGACAAAAATAAAATTGACATAATAATAAGAATTAATATATTAGAATTTGATAACATCGACATATTTAATAATTTAATCAATTCGGGATATTGAAGACAATCAATGTTGTGAATAAGAATTTAAAAAAAAAAGATTTGTTAGAATTTGAGACCAGAAATTAAACTTATATATTTCTACTGAGAGACACTGTGTGTATGGCAAACGTGATGTTTTTTCTTGCCATATCATATTCAATAATAGACAATGACGAACAGTAATCGTTATCATTATAGACTTTGAGCTCAATAATAATAAAAAATTATAAAAAGGGTTCCTCAGGTATTGTGATAAAAACCAACTGAACAAATATTTGTGTCTGACAAACCACTGCAATAAGTTTTCTCTTTTTCTTCGATAGTTTTTTTTTATTAATGTCTGGCGGTAAAAATATTTATTCCCTACAAGTCAAAGGTGAACAATATAAAAATAGACAATATTGTGATTTTGTTTTCGAAATACGTGTGTAAGACAAAGCAAATATATATGAAGCGATTGATAAACTAATGGGCGGCGCATAAAGAATTGCACTATTCGTATTTTCGAAAGTTCTTCTGTATTATCTCCTTGATGAAAATACATCTTATTGATATGTTTAGTTGTTTCCTAACGTTTTTTTACCGTAATTTAGAGCTATCGGGAGAATTTCAGTAAAATATTTTTCTGTATGCATCTTCCAAAAATTACCGGCTCTGTCAGTGCTCATACACGCATACCACACTGTCTCATATAATATTCGTTGTGCACTTTTGTGGAATTCACATATATTTTCGAAGAAAATAGTGAATGTAAATTTTAAGTTTAAGTTTTCCGACTACCGTCTCCACCCCCACTCTGCTACAGACACACCCTCCCTTCCCCCTATTACAGACAATCCCCACTCATTCCAGACGTCAGCAATGGAGAATACCAGACGTGAGATTTTCTAGAGTCTTTTACAGAATTGATTAAGTGTGGGTGTGTGGGTGTGGGTGTGGGTGTGAGTGTGGGTGTGGGTGTGGGTGTGGGTGTGTGGGTGTGGGTGTGGGTGTGTGGGTGTGGGTGTGGGTGTGTGGGTGTGGGTGTGGGTGTGAGTGTGGGTGTGGGGGTGGGTGTGGGGGTGAGTGTGGGGGGGGGGGGGCGGGGGG